GGTAATTATTTTTCAGTCTACTTTTTACTTCTACTCCTTACATTCCCATGCAATTATCTGTACTTTCTATTCCTTACTTTTCAAAAATACAAAATGTATTTCAATTCTATTTCACTTTGGCTTGTTTTCATTCCAGCATAACAAAGAAAAAAAAAAAAAAAAAAATCTGTTGAAAAAAATCTGAAGGATCTGTTGTGTCTCGTGCTCTGTCTGGTGTTTGGTGTTTTATGTTCTCTTCTCCTTCCTCGGTCTGTTCAGTTCTTGATTATTCTCTCACACCTGTCTGCATTCTGTAATCACCCAGCTGTCTCCACTTTCTACTTAACCTTGCTGCCATTCTCTTTCTCCACGTCCTCGTTCGTTCATTGTTTGGTTCATATCCTGGTGCCCTCTCCTGCTCTTAGTTCTGTTTGGTGTTTTTGCCACACCAACTTTTTGCTTTAATAAAGTTTTGAAATCCTTTGAGCTTGTCTGCATTTGGATCCAACCTTATTCCCAAACAGCATCAGATAAAGTTTGTCCTATTTTGTTCTGACAACTAAATGTTTTAAGGATTCATGTGGTTATGTTTGAAAAGACTCCTAAATGCATATTTTAAAGTAAAAAGGGTAAATTTTTGGTGAATCAGATGCCCATTGTTCTTCCTGCTGTTTTTTACACTTCTGTCTTATAAGACAAGTGAGTCCTTTAAGAAGTTAATTGCTCTGGTTTTTTTTTTTGCTGGAAAAAACAGGGTGTTTTCATGTGACTGGGGTGTTTTAGCACCATAGACTGAATCTGAAGATGTGTGGGCCAAAGAAAACCAGTGATTTCCATGCCGTTGAGACAAACAATTAAAATTCCAATTATTGTTTTTTTAAACAACAAGAAGTTTAATTATGTTTGTATGAAAATATTATTTTCTTGTCACATTATTATTGTTTTCTACTTACTTTTGAAAATACAGAAGTGTTTATTCTTTGCCTCTGTGAAACTCTTTTGCTCTGTTCCTACAGTCATTTCCTTCCTTTTCTATGTTTCACACCTCGTCTCAGAATATTCCTAAATTTTGACACATCAGTTTCACAGCTATCATTTTTTTTTAATGTTGTTTCCTGTGATACTAAATGCATGTCAGGCTCTGTCATATGAGTTGTTTTTATGCTGTCATTATTTTTAGGGTGCTTTGTTATTGTTTTTCTATTTGTTTCAGTTTATTTTTCCCAGAGTCCTCTTTGCCGTTAGTTCACTCTTTCTCTGTACTTTTCCCATATCCAGTCCCTGCATCTGCCACACCCTCCTACACCTGTTTCCCATTCCTATTTGTCACAGCTGCCACTTATCTCAGTCCCAGACTTCACATGGTGACTTTTTTTGTTCTTCAAAAATCTCGATATAAGACAAGAAATCTGTTCATTTGATTGTGAAGTCTTTTTAAATGCGTAAAATCAATGTTAATGATTGTTAAGCATCTGATAAGTACTGAGCCTAGGGTGCATGGGGGAATTTTTTCTATTCCCCCATGCACCTTGCATTACCTCACAATTCTTTTTGAGTAGTAATAACTCCAGTGTAATGGTGCACATGTCAGTTTGTCAATAAACCAGTGGACAAAACAGTAATAAACAACTTGTGAGATACTGCAAAGATTTTCAGTGGAAATACAAAAACTATTGTGAAAAGAAAAAAAAATCAGATTTTCCTTTGTGGGCTCAGTAGATAAGAAACCAATAAATTCAATTTGGTATCACTGAAAGAAATTCGATATTAGTGCGTGTTCATTACCCGGATGTGTGCGAAATTATGAGAGAATGTGCAATATAATATGAGTGTGAGAGTAACCATACAGAAGCCAGAGCGCTCTGCTGATAACCTGTTTAATGCTGCCCTGGTTTAAATCAGACCCTTTCCTTCACTTTGCTTCGCACAAGTGTCTGGACTTGATGCATAGAGAATCGTTTCTTGCAGGAGGCATGGCCTCTGCTGAAGCATGTGTGTGTTGTTGGTGTGAAGGAGGCTAAGCTAAGAAGCTAACTGGAAATAGCGTGTGCTGTAAACAACCCTACTGAGAGGAGAAATATAAGGAGCCAAACGAGACGGCTGTAAATGAGAGCTGCTGCTTTGTCTGACAAATTTAATTTAATTTGGAAGCCTTATCAACACAGACTGGCTTCATTCACTTCCTCCACTGTCGTATGCTAAACTAACTAGCAGACACTGCTCAGAACATCAACGTCATTCAAAACTCCTCCTTCTGTTTGCTGATTGGCCCAGGTAAAATAAACTACAAGCAGACACTGCGCAGAAAATGAGAAGGGGTTATCTGCGGAATCAAAGTGGGCGTGTCACAAGAGTGGGCGTGTCAAAAGCATAAACACTGTGGGCTACGAGTCCTACATGACGGTATCCTTAGATCCTGCTTGATCTCTTTACAGCCTGACCCCAACACTAAGGTTAACCAGGAGAAATGTGACCCAAGTAGGGTTCTCCAGAAAAAGTGGTGCCGTACAGTAACGCCCCTTTTGTTCTTGTCTAGTCAGGTGGTGCCGTACGGTATTGCCCCTTTTTTGCTTGTCCAGTCAGGTGTGTCCCTTTAACAAAGTCAAATTAGGTGTGTCGCCTTAGAATCGCCTGTCCTTGTGACACACCCTTTCGTCTGCACTCGTCCGCAGAGACCCCTACTTGCAGAAAATTAACGTTCTGTTCTCTGATTGGCCCGGCTAAAAATCTGCCAGCGAAATCCATCTCAATGGCAGAAGTCCCAGATGGAGCAGTGAAGGGAAACTAGAATTGAGCAGAGCTGCATTGAAAGGCAAAGGCCAGGCTAATGCTGCCAAGGAATCAGACCGAACAAGGAAGTGACAAAGAATGTAAAACACCAGCTTCAGGGCATGACTCCGCCGATAATTACGTCATCTGTTAGGAGAAGGTCCCTATAATTTTGGTCAGAGACATGCCCACAAACAATTAAAAAGCTATCCTAATGATTGTAAAAGTACACATATGTGTTATATGGTGCCAGGCATGTAGCTATTAAAAATAGAATCATCCAGTTAATTATAAATCACAATTATCAGTCATTACACTTCTATCATAAAACAAAATAGACTATGTGTAGTGTGATTTCAATCAGTGCACTAAATAAAACCCCAATAATTCCTTCATCACGGATAAAAAAATTGTCAAAAGTGAGCAGTTAGTGACAAACAGACCCAGGAGACCAGAATAACAAAGGTATGTGTTTTTATTTCCAGGTGTCAGGGTAAAAGTGATCCAGGCTGTGAAGGGAAAGGAAGAAGGTAAGTTCCAGTTCACTTGACAGAGCAGATTTTCTTTAAATGATTTAATAGGTGTTTTCTTACAGCTTGTGGAGATGAGTGCAGCTCGGAGGAGAGGATTTCCAGTTTCCAAAAGGTACGTTTTACCAGGCAAGTCCAAGTAAGGTTTACAGGTTACAAGGTACGTTGGAGGCAGACAGGCAGCGGCACAAGGAGGATCAGGTGAGTGGCTCTCAGGTAATTGTTCTTGAACAGGACGGTGAGAATGCAGGTCACTTCAGGTCTTATTCTGCACACAGGTGAGTAAACAGGAAAACAAGGATTAGCAAGACTCAATATTTTGTAAACTAATTACACAGTTGCTGTTCTTTGTCATTTTTGATATTCCCTCTGTAATAAACCTTCAGCAGCACTGATGTCTTCCTGTAGTCTATCACACACACACACACACACACACACACACACACACACACACACACACACACACACACACACACAC